TTGAGCAATCCTCCCCTAGCCCCGGTAGCTGGGCTTACGGCATGCGCACCATGCCCAGTAATTTTTTGTCGTATATTTTTAGTTGGGCCAATTAATTTCTTTGTATTTTAGCTAGAATGGAGGTCTCGCTCTTGCTTCAGGGCTGGTCTCTAATCCTGGCTCAACGATCTCCTGCACTCAGCCTCCCAGACGTGCTGGGATTACAGGCATGAGCCACATGCGCCTCGGCCTGAACGTCACTTTTAATATAGTTTTTTTTTTTCATTTCGAGACACAGTCTACTTTGGTTGCCCGGCTAGAGTGCCGTGGCGTCAGACTCGCTCACAGGCAACCTCACCCTCTCCTGGTCTCAAGCAATTCTCCTGCCTCAGCCTCATATAGTAGCTGGTGACTACAGGATTGCTGCACCATGCCCAGCTAAATTTTCTTATATTTAGTTGCCAATTTAATTTCTTTCTTATTAATTTATAGTAAGAGATTGGAACGTTCGCTAATTGACTCAGACTGGTTTCGAACTCTTACCTCGACGCGATCTGTTCACCCTAGTTTTAGGAACTCTTGATTGTATAGCCTCCTGCAGTTTTGAATTTATTAGGACAAGCCACTGGTTGAACATGCTCCGGCATCTCCCGTGGTCTTAGATTCTCCGGCGAAGCGTCTTTCCTCGGGCATGTTCGTGACAGTTCGCGCCTTAGAGCTGGCTCTTTATTGGCCAATCAGAGAGATAAGAGCGGAATCTCCTAGGGAGATCTTCCCTCCTTTTCCTTTCTTTCCTGAAAACAAATAAAACCAAATAACAAACTTCCATCGACACCCACCCAACACGCAACCTCAAACTGCTGGGCTCAAATGATCCTCCTGCCTCAGCCTCCCAAGGAGGCTGGGACTACGGGCATGCGCCACCGTGCCAGCTAATTTTTTCTATATATTTTTAGTTGGCCAATTAATTTTTTTCTATTTTTAGTAGAGACGGGGTCTCGCTCTTGCCCAGGCTGGTCTCGAACTCTTGACCTCGAGCGATCCGGCCACCTAGTTTTAGACTCTTGATTGTATAGACCTTGCAGTTTGCCATTTTAGACACAGCCACTGGGTGACACTGCCGCGCATCTGCCGTGGTCCGAGATTCTCCCGCGAAGCGTCTTCCTCGGGGTGCGTGGGGTCGCGCCTTGAGCTGGCTCTTTATTGCCCATCAGAGAGAGCGGGAATCTCCCCATTTCCTTCTTTCCTTGAGTGACCTGGTCATAGGCCCATTTCATCCACGGTTTTGGAGGTGGTGCCGGCTGTGGAAGGACATTGCTCCGGGGACCCCGGAAAGTGCTCAGCAGCCGGGGAGGGCAGCGTCTCTGGGACACGGGTTGGGGGGGTTGTCCCCTTCGCCTGGCTGGCCCCTGGCTGCTTTGTCTTTGTCTTTTTTTTTTGAAACAGAGTCTCACTCTGTTGCCCGGGTTAGAGTGCCGTGGCGTCAGCCTAGCTCACGGCAACCTCAAACTCCTGGGCTCAAGTGATCCTCCTGCCTCAGCCTCCCAAGGAGGCTGGGACTACGGGCATGCGCCACCGTGTCGGCTAATTTTTTGTATATATTTTTAGTTGGCCAATTAATTTCTTTCTATTTTTAGTAGAGACGGGGGTCTCACTCTTGCTCAGGCTGGTCTCGAACTCCTGACCTTGAGCGATCCACCCGCCTCGGCCTCCCAGAGTGCTAGGATGACAGGCGTGAGCCACGCCGCCCGGCCCCTGGCCGCTGGCTTCTGACGCCTCTGTCTGGACCGCAGGACCGATCTTTCCTGGCAGAAGTCCGCTTTTGAAAATCATTTTCTGCGGAGAAACTCAGGAGACACTGTCTAGCCTCGTGCTGCTTTTGCTTGTGCGGCTGAGCTGACCCTGCCTGTCGCGTGTCAGAGCCAGCCAAGGTCCCTTTGTGGTGTTGGGAAGGCGCGCCTTGGTCTCGCCCGCCGGCGGGAGGTGGCCGCCGTGCCCTCTGGTCTCTGCCCCGTCCCCACTGCCATGCCGGTGCCCGCTGCCTCCGTGCTCGGCGCGTGTGCTCATCCTGTCTGTGTGTCTCTGAACAGAACCACCTCGCCGTGTTCGCCGCGGTCCACCCGCTGGCTCCCAGCGTGAGCTCCAGTGTGGCGTCCAGCCTGGCGTCCAGCGCGGGCTCAGGCAGCTCCTCCCCCACCGCTCTGCCCGCCCTCCCCGCCCGCTCCCTCCCGCTGGGCCCCGCCGGCAGCGCCGTGGAGGCCGTGCTAGGTAAGTCAGCGCCTTCCTCCTTCCTCCTGCTCACTCGACTCTTCCGAGCTCCCCTGTTTCTCAGAAGTGGCTTTTCTGTTCCAGGACACATCGCAAAATGCCTGTGTTCATAGAAAAGCCAGACGCGTGATTTTGGTCACCTGTCACCTTGGTTGTGTTGTGTGTGTTGTCGTGGAAATGAGCCCTGACTTGCTGAGGGGCTGGGGGGCTGTGTGACGCACCCCCAGCCGCCAGGCCACCCGAGCGCCTTCCTGCCCCGAGACCGCCAGAGTGGGGAGGCCGCCGAGCTGTGGGGCCAGCGAGGGCACCTCGGCTGGGGGACGGTGACAGGGTGTGGAGGGGAGCCAGGGTGGGCCCTGGAGCCGGTGGGCACAGCTGCCAGCGTTGGGAGGTCTTTAGCCGCTGGGGTTTTGGGGACAGATGACCCATGACTGGAGCTGGGCCGGGAGCCCAGGGCCGCAGCGAGGTCCTTGCAGGAGTCCAAGGTGGGGCAGGCCGGGGCAGAGCTGGCGGGCGAGACGGCGCTGGGGGCTGCGGTGCACTTGGCCCCTTCCCGCCCCGGCAGAGGCCGAGTCTTGGGGGTGAAGGACACCGTGGCACCGGGTGAGGAGTGGACACTCGGAAGTCCCATGTTCCGGGACGCCCGGAGCCAGCCGGCCTGGCCTGCGTCTGTCCCGACAGCGGGGGCTTGGGGAAGGCCTGTGTGCCCCTGGGCGGCCGGCCCTGCTCAGCGCCGTGTTCCTCTCGGGCAAATGCCCACCCTCCCGTTCTTCAAAGGGTCCCTTCCTCGCAGCACCGGGACCTTCCGAGGCCGGCAGGCGAACCCTTCATGGCCTTGGTCACACGTCCGTTTCGTCTGAAGAACCCTCTAGACCCGGGGCTTGACCTCCCTGGGAAGCTGTGGACGGAGCGGGCAGCTGATGGACCCGTCGCCTCCCTGTGCTGGGCCCAGGTGCCGAGCAAGGCAGGTGCCAGGACGCCCCTGTCTGTGAGCTGCCCTCGCGCACCTGCTCCCTCCAACGGCAGCCTCCGCCTCCGCCCTGGCCTGGAGGTCTCCGCGGGGTCCAGGGCAGGGCTCAGACCCCTCCCTCTTTGCCCTCTCCTGTTTTGAAAACCTCCTGGCAGGAGTGAGCGTGCACATGGGGTGGCTCCGTTAGGCCTTTGCTCTAACTGGCAGTTCCTGGATGTTGAAAGTCCTTCACGGTGGTGTCGGTGTGTGTGTTTCCTCGTGCATAGGAACGAACCCAGGCGTATTTTGTTTCAGGCTGAAATTGGGGGAAAGTGTGTTGCTCCTCTAGCGGCCTCGGGAATCGAACATGTTCGCTGCCACATGGGAGCGCCGTTGTGAGCCGGCTGGTGCCTCCGTTCACACGTCCCTGCCGGACAGTCAGCAGGGAGCGCGGGTGCGTGGAGAGGCCTCCTCTCCTCCCCCCGGGACGTGCGCTGAAAAGCCACGGGCCTGAACCGCATGTCTTGGGATTTTATTTTCCTACAGATAAGCACAAACTCTGTTTTTTAAATAAACTTCATCTTCCTCAATAGGAAAGTGGTAATGGTGGAATTCGAGCATAACAGAAAAGTGTTCAGGAAAACGAAGTCCCTGCCCCAAATCGGCAAGACTGCCTGAGTCTGCTCCCCTGAGTGAGAAGTGGGACTCGGTGCTTTGCGGGCACGGCTGGGCCCTGCAGACACAGCGTGAGCTGTTTGCAGGTATTTTTCCAGCCGGTACTTAGTATCTGCGGCGTGACCTCAGCCTGTTTTAGTAGGTCTAGTCCACGTCCCTGGGTGTCTGGAAGAGCTTTTTAAATTTTTGAGACAGAGTTGCCTGGGCTGGAGTGCAGTGGCATGATCATAGCTCACTGCAACCTCCAACTCCTGGGCTCCAGCGATCCTCCTGCCTCAGCCTCCCCAGTAACTGGGACTACAGATGCACATCACCATGCCCAGCATTTTTAGTCGCCCACCTAATTTTTTTTCCCCTATTTTTGTAGAGACAGGGTCTCGCTCTTGCTCAAGATGGTCTCCAACTTCTGAGCTCAGGCAGTCCTTGGGCCTCGGCCTCCCAGAGTGCTGGGATTACAGGCGTGAGCCACCACGCCGGCCTGGAAGTGCAGCTTCCTAAAGAAGTTGCACGTCACTAATTCCCCAGCCTGAGAAACCTGGAAGTGACCTCGTGCTGTCATTGACTTAACTGTTTCCTGAACCCCCTGGGAGGTGAGGAGGTGGGTTGTTGCCTTTCTTTACAGACAGGGGTGGATGAATCAGAAGCTTTCGCCATCAAATCCATTCTCCCTGTTTTCCCCGACCGCTCCCTGCAGTCCTGGGTGAGGTGCTGCTCCAGTGAGAGCCCAGCGGCTGCCTTCCTGCCACGGCCAGCCTGAGCACACAGCCGGCTCCATGGCCCTTCTCTGTGCGCTTGTCTCGGTAGCTGTTCTGCAGGGTTTGGGGTGAGGCGGCAGGACGGGGTCGTGTTCTCCTCGTGGTACAGTTTCCCGTAGGTTATGTTATCACTGAAGCATGAATGAGAATGATGAGTAAGCTGCAGTACAGGTGCTCGTTCCAGACTGATTCTGTGTTTGACGGATCTGGAATCATTTCGGGACCATTGCATAGACGGCATGTTTTTTCGGCTTCCACTGCGTATTAGGTTTTAGGTTAAAATAGTAGTCACTATGCTCTCGGCCGCCCCGGTATGAGCTCGGTATGCAAGCTGATACCGGGGCAGCCAGGAGCAGAGGGAGGAGGAGAGGGGCAGGGGCAGGGGCAGGGGCAGGAGGGAGCGCGTCCCTCCTGTTGCCGCTGGTTGCTCCCTGCTGGTGCAGGTGGTCATGGCTCGGGGAGCAGACCGCGGTGCGGCTCCAGTGCTTTCCGTGCAAAGACCCCTCTACCTCCTGCACGAAAGGGGGCTCGGTCCAGCGAGCGTTCCCGTGCTGCCTGAGTGTCAGCTGGGCCGAGCAGCCCCGGGACGCTGGCTCGCATGGCGCAGGCGCAGGCGCAGGACAGGTGCCGGTGCAGCCCCACGGCGCGCCCCACCTTGGGCCGGGCGGGGTCTCCGAGGAAGCCGAGCGGGGGGCGTGGCCAGCGTGGGGGGGGCTGGACCAGAATGAGGTTGGTTGGGGCCACGGCCAGCACGGGGCGGGGCGGGGGTGGGACAGGGGCGGGGCCAGCGCGGAGCGGGGCTGGTTGGGGGCGGGGCTCGGCCGGGTTTGAATCTGCGGCGGCGGGGCCCGGCCGCGCACCGTGAGTCAGCATCGGTGGCGGACCGACCGTGCGCTCTCGTCGGCCCTGTGCCTTCAAGGTGCAGGTCTTCGTTATTCGGCGCTTTGGAGTCGGCTGTTCTCCCTTACGTGCGTCCTTCCCAGGTGCGGACCCCGGTGGTGCGGATCCCCCCAGGTGCGCCCTCCCCCAGGTGCAGACCCTCCAGGTGCGGACCCCCCAGGTAGACACCCCCAGGTGCGCCCCCCAGGTGCGCCTCCTGCTTGTCCGCAGCACCGCATCCCAGAGCCGGGGTTGGCAGCCGCCAGGTCGGTTCCCGGTTTCCCGGGCTGGAGAACGAGGAACCTGTCTCCCGCGGGGCTCTCGGGTGGTCAGGGAGGGCATCCCGCGGGGCAGCTGTCGCCCTCCGCCTGGGCTCTTGCTCCTTTGGCCGCGAGTGGCCTGCAGCACCGCCTGGAGCCGCAGGCGCAGGTGAGCGGGTTTGCCGGGGCTTCCCCGCCCCTCGCTGCGGACAGCCTGGCCCGGGCGTGCGCTTTACCGGCCTGGCGGCTGGGGGGTTCCCTGTTCAGCCTCTGATGCAGTACTGTTTGTGTGGCTTGTCCCCGTTTGTCCCCGACCCCGGGGGAGCAGCGGCCGAATGTGCTGTGTCACCCCTGGCAGCCGAGCCAGGCCATTACTCAGCAGCTTCCCGTGGGTTCTGGGAACACCAGGCGCTCCTGGCTCTGGGTCAGGCGGCACAGCGCAGCTCACGTGGTTTACGTAACTGGGCTCACCTAGATTTGGGGCGTCTGTTTAAAAGCTCTTCCTCTGACAGTGTTTCTGGAGACTTGGGCCTGACGGTGGGCGCGGTGTGGTGAGGTAGGAGGAGGGAGGCGCGCTCCGGGAGCAGCTGTTTCCCCATGGCTCCCCAGGAGTGCTGGGCCAACGGAGACTCTTCCCCCTTTGGATCAAGGGCTCCCCTCGCCCTTCCCAGGGACCCGGGTGGGGTGCAGGGCTCCCCACGCCTCTCCAGGCACTTCCCAGGCTGCGGTTCGGGCGCACCTGCCCCACTTAGGCTGCGCTGGTGCCTCTAAAGGGCCAAGCGCTGTGGTTGGTCAGGTGAGGCTGACTGCGGCCTGGCCCCCAGGGGGCCTGCACCTGGCAGGGCAGGGACAGGGCAGTGGCACGAGCACTGGCGCTCGAGTCAAAGCCTGGGACACAAGGCTCCTGCGTCTGGGCTCCTTTGCGCCTTTGCTTTCGCAGAGTTCCTGGATCTCTGTGAGCTTGGAAGGGGCCCCCATCCTGGCCCCAGGGCAAGTCCAGGTTTCCAGGCCCGGCCGAGGAGCACATCTGGGGCAAGGACCCACCACAGCACACGGGAAGGTGGGCTCGAGCCCGCCCCATGCTCAGCCTGGAAGTCGTGCCAGGCGGAGCCTACGGCACATGGCGGGGCAGGCGCTGGGAGACCCACCATGACGCCGTGCCCAGCACGCGCAGGACGCGGCGGAGTTGTCCTTGTGGAGAGGTCACTCGGGGATGTTGCGAGGGCCGGCTTGGCCTCTGCTGGCGTGGGTTAGGGAGGAGGAGGGGAGCGAGTCCCGTCAGGGTTCTGCCAGGGGCCCCTACGGCTTGTGCAGTCTGGGACCTCGCTGGAGGAAGGGATATGGTCCGTGTGGGGCCAGGGCACCGTCAGGGCTGCGGAGCCACCGTCGGGTGTGGACCCGGCCACGGGAGAGGCTGGTGGGACGCAGAGGGGTGGGCCTGGGAGGGAGGATGGGCTGCCTCTGACCAGCGGTGGTTCAGGCCACAGGTGCAGGGCTGTGGACAAGGCCTGGGCGGGGGCCGCAGAGAACAGCCGTGAGGAGCGGGAGGCTCAGGGAAGGAGGGCAGGTGGGCCGAGGAGGGCTCCACAGCACGGGCAGAGGCCTGCGGGGCACGGGCAGGGCCCGGGAGGCGTTGCCTGGTGTCCCCCACGAGCTGTGTCTGAGCCCTAAGCCCTGGCACCGGTGGGAACGCAGTAGGCCCCACTGAAGTTTTGCTTTTCCTGGTTTCAGCTACCCGGGAACAGAGGTCAGAAAATGCGGGAGGGAGGAAGGACGGCACGATGAGATGTTTCAGACGAGAGCGACCATCGCTTAACTTTATTGCAGTCTGTTGTCGTCGTTCTGTGTTGTTACTTATTGTTGGGCTTTTGCTGTGCCTTGCTTACAAACTAAACCCATCGTAGGGACGTATGTGTAGGAAAAAACAAAATGCTCAGGGGTCGGTACTATCCGCAGTTTCAGGCGATCACTGGGGCCCCGGGCGGTGTCCCCGTGCAGGGACTCTGCAGATGTCGTTAGGACGAGGCCAGCGTCATGGCCCCGGCCAGGGGCTGGTACCCTCAGGAGACGTGTGGACTCGGACATGAGGGGAGGCCACGTGAAGACAGTTGCAGGGACTGGAGAGATGTGGGAGCCACAGACGGTGGGGGAGGGAGGCAGAACTCTCCGGAAGAGCTTCTGCAGGGAGTGCGCCCTGCTGACACCTGGGCCTGGGGCTTCAGACCCCAGAGCTGCGGGAGGGCACGTTTCTGTCATTCGGTGCCACCCAGCGTGTCCTTGGGTACTCGGCGGCCGGACACCAACTCCCCGGTTCCTCCGATGTTGCCTCCAGTGTCCCACACGATGTGAGGCAGCCGCTGCGGGAGGGGCCCCGGGAAACCAGGAGCAGGGAACGCACACGTGAGGCCTCGGCCTGCGGCCTTCCTGCCATCCGTCTCCTTCCCGGATGAGACCTTGGGAAGCTTCTTCCAGAGCTTCATTTGAGTGGTTCCGCCGTGGGGGGCTGGCCCTCCCTCCGTGCGCCAGCCCAGATCCCGGGCACCGCTGCGTCCTCCCAGCCCCTGGCCCTGGCCCACAGGCACCGTGGTGCCAGCGGGGAGGGCCGTTAGCTCCAGGGCAGCTCAGCAGCCCCCGAGCCCTGAGGTTCTCCAGAGGAATAGTGAGGCTGGGTGGGGTCTGGGAGTCATGCTGGGGGCAGGGCTGTCAGGAATCTGCACGGCCCCTCCAGGTGGGGCCGCCCTGCGCCAGGCATGGGGTGAGGCATGCTCCCCACGGTTGGCTCGTGGTCCCCCAGGCCGAGCGGAGCTGACGGGTCCTCGGGCCCTGGCTGGGGAAGGACGGGGCGGCTGGGCCCACTCGGGGCTGACCAGGGACTCGCTCCGCACGTTGTTCCCGCAGAGCCGCGTGCGGCGGGACGGAGTCCCCCCCCACAGCCGCTCCCTCAGCGCTGAAGGCAGCAGCGCCCCCGGTCCCTGTCCTGTGGCGTCTGTTAGCTCTGTCCCTGGCCTTGGCTCTTCTGCGACAGCCGTCCCCGCCCCTGCCAAAGCTTCCCCCGCCCCATGCACTTGCCTCTCTGTCCTCCAGCTGTTCCCAGGTGTCTCGCTTGACCCTGCCAGGCTGGGCCCGTTCTGGGTGGGGGCTGAGGTCCAGGAGCCCTCATGGGCCACACCAGGGTCCCTGCTGTGGGGGCTGGGCTGGGCTTGGAGGCCAGAGGGCAAGACCTACTCGGTGCCCGGCGGCGGGGTCAACACCATCAGCTGCGTCTCGGCCGGGGGGCGTCTGTGCTGCGAGGTTCCGTCCCAGCATGTGGGCCTTGTGTCCTGTTCCTGGATTGAGGAATCTTCATCCTGGTGCTCGGCATAAAATTGCCTGTGCACCCACTTACTGATCAAAGTCACCCTCCTGGAAAAGTTTTTTATGGTCAAGTATGCCCCCTTGGTCAAACTTTTTGTCTTTGAGACAGGGTCTTGCTCTGTCACCCCAGCTGGAGGGCAGTGGCGTCATCACAGCTCTCTATAGCCTCCAACTCCTGGGCTCAAGCGATCCTCCTGCCTCAGCCTCCCGAGTAGCTGGGAGTACAGGCATGCGCCACCATGCCCAGTTAATTTTTTCTATATGTTTTTAGTTGGCCAATTAATTTCTTTCTATTTATAGCAGAGATGGGGTCTCGGTCTTGCTCAGGCTGGTTTTGAACTCCTGACCTTGGGTGAGCCTCCTGCCTCGGCTCCCAGAGTGCTAGGATTACAGGCGTGAGCCACCGCGCCCGGCCGGCCGACTTGGTCAAATTTGATACCAGAGCTGTGTGCTGGGGTGGGGGTGTGGCCTGGACACCTCTGTTCTGGGGAAGAACTGGCCTCTCTGACCGCAGGAGGCCGGCAGGGGGGCTCGTTTGCAGCCCCCAGCACCTCTGGCACCTTCTGGCTCTGTCGTTGCTGGGGCGACGGGCCGCCCTGAGCTGAGGCTGTTCCGCAGGTTCTGCGCTGGACCTTCATCTCAGCAATGTGAACATCACGTCCCTGGAGAAGGACCTAGAGGAGCGTGACACACGTGACCTCGGGCCAGCAGGTAGGGTGCAGAAGGCCTGCGCGCTCCTCCTCAGTGCTGGGGGGTCTTGGGGTGGGAGGGTCCCCCCGTCTCTGTGCAGGGCACCCCCACTCTTCCTTGGTCTCCATCGGAGATGCGCTGCCCCTGTAGTGAGAGACGGCATTTGAGGGGTGCAGGAACCTGAGTTTCAACCACCACGCCTCGTACAGATGGTTGGGTTAATGCCACGTGCTGTATCGTTCCCTTTAACCTGAAAAATCATCTTTTCTTGCTGATTTGAAAGTAAATGGACTGGGCCGGGCACGGTGGCTCTCACGCCTGTCATCCTAGCACTCTGGGAGGCCGAGGAGGGAGGATCGCTCAAGGTCAGGAGTTCAAAACCAGCCTGAGCAAGAGTGAGACTCCATCTCTACTAAAAATAGAAACAAATTAATTGGCCAAGTAAAAATATATAGAAAATATCAGCCGGGCATGGTGGCACATGCCTGTAGTCCCAGCTACTCGGGAGACTGAGGCAGGAGGATCGTCTGAGCCCAGGAGTCTGAGGTTGCCGTGAGCGAGGCTGACGCCACGGCACTCACTCTAGCCTGGGCAACAAGCGAGACTCTGTCTCAAAAAAATAAAAAATAAAAAAAAAATAGCCTAACTTTTTGTGCCTTAACGCAGTGGTCCCCAACCTTTTTGGCACCAGGAACCAGCTTCATGGAGGACAATTTTTCCAGGGCCTGGGGTAGGGGTGGGAGTGGGGGCACGTGGAGCTCAGGCCTGGTGTGACGGGGGACGGGGTGGGTGGCTGTAAACACAGACGAGGCTTTCCTCGTCCTCACGCACCTCCTCTTGGGATGGGTTCCTAACAGGCCACAGACCGGTACTGGTCCGCAGCCCGGGGCTTGGGGACCGCAGCCCAAAGGACCTAGAAAAAGAAGAGCAAACTAAACCCAAAGGTAGCAGAAGGAAAAAAAAAAAAAAAACAGTAAAGATCAGAGGTAAATAAAATAGCAATTATATAAAACAAGAGGGAAAAATAAATAAAAACCGAAAGTTGGTTCCTTCAAAATATTAACAAAATTGTCAAAGCTTTAACCAGACTGACCAGGAAAGACAGACTCAAATTACTAAAACTGGAAATGAAGTGGCCTGTCACTACCAATGTTACAGAGATCAAAAGGCTAAGAGTATACACCATTATGAGCAACTGTCCACCGACACTTGGTGGCTGGATGCAGTGGACCGCTCCCCGGAACACACACAAGCTGCACGTGCCTGTGACTGGCCCTGAGACGGAGTGGTCAGAAACCTCCCAAGGAAGAAAAGCCCAGGACCTGGCTTCACTGGTGAATTCTATCAGGCGTTTAGAGAACACCAGTCTTTCTCAAATGCTCAAAAAACTGGAGGAGGGAGAACACTTCCTGACTTACTCTATGACGCCACAGTTACCCTGACCAATAACCCTTATAGGCCGGGCACAGTGGCTCACGCCTGTGATCCCAGCACTTTGGGAGGCTGAGACAGGAGGATCACTTGAGCCCTGGAGTTTGAGACCAGCTTGGGCAACACGGTGAGACCCCATCTCTACAAAAATACAAAACTTAGCCAGGCGTGGTGGCAGGTGCCTGTAGTCCCAGCTACTCTCAAGGCCAAGGCAGGAGAATGGCTTGAGCCCAGGCTCTGGAGGCTGCAGTGAGTTAGGATGATGTCACTGCACTCCAGCCTGGGCAACACACCCTGTCTCAAAACAAAACAAAACCAAGCAACTAAAAAAAAAAAAATCCCTTATAAACACTGATGCAGGCTGGGCGCGGTGGCTCACGCCTGTAATCCTAGCACTCTGGGAGGCCAAGGCGGGCAGATTGTTCGAGGTCAGGAGTTTGAGACCAGCCTGAGCAAGAGCGAGACCCCGTCTCTACTATAATAGAAGAAATTAATTGGCCAACTAATATATATAGAAAAATTAGCGGGCATGATGGTGCATGCCTGTAGTCCCAGCTACTCGGTGAGCTGAGGCAGCAGGATTGCTTGAGCCCAGGAGATTGAGGTTGTTGTAAGCTAGCTGGACGCCAGGGCACGCGCTCTAGCCTGGGCAACAAAGCTAGACTCTGTCTCAAAAAAAAAACTGATGCAAAAATCTCAACAACATACAGCACAGTGAACCAA